AGACATCAGTGAGATATTTTGTCAGACAATTCTCTAAATTCTTCTGTGCAAGATTGAGGCAAAAACTACATCTGTCTCAGCAAGCCCACCAGTTCTCAAGGATACAGAACAATTATTCTCTATTCCCCACAAGTATGAAAGCAAGATACAGCCTTTGTGTTTCACTCTGCTAGTCATTCCTGTGAATGAGTACACAGTAAATTTAAAAAAAAACTTGGATTCCAGCATCCTAGGCAGTTTTGCTTCAGGTGAATGCTGTGCTGAGGTTCTGAGCTACTGCTGAGTTGCAGTAGCTGTGATGCGTTCATCACCACTGTGTTTCTAGAATGGTAGTCATTACTGTGCAATGAGCTTTGAGATACCGTGATTTTAAAAGACACTAGAGAAAATCAAATTCTCTGATGTTCTTAAATTATGAGCATTAGGACTTTCAGCAACTGGCTTTGCAGAAAGGGACATCTAGTGGCTGTACAGAAAAAAACCTTGCAAAAAGCATTTTCACATGTCCAACTTAGCCATTTGTGTATGGCCTGCAGTGTTCAATATCCTGTTCTTTTTTATTCTACTGCATCATGTGTTTTCTGTAGATAATTTTTTATGGTTCTGACCAAAAAAAGAATCACTATTTCGAGCCATTACTTTCTAGCTTCATGTAGGCCTGTGTATGGTTACTCTGGCAAATAGAAAACTGCCTCAAGCCATGCTTGATGTACCTTGCTGCTGCACTTCCAGTGTTCTATAGTATCTTCCAGGAGTCCACTGCCTGCTGTTTCCTTCTGCCATTGCCTTCGCCTTTGGTACTGTACTTGGAGAGCTTGTCATTGTTATTGTCATGGTAAAACCTACTTTATTTTGAATGCCCATAGCATAAAAGTCAGCAGGAGGGGTGGATGAGATTCAGGGAAACACTAATCTAAGCATTCAGTCATGTATTACACAACAAAAGTTTTTTCCTTTCCCATCCACGTTGTGCTCCTTCTTACTAGTTGAGGATGAATTCCATGCATGTTTCTGTGAATAGCCTGACAGTTTAATCGGTACATTTGCATACGGGCAAATGAAGCTTTTTTCAAAGTTGCACAGTAATATGTTTCACCTTTATACCATGCCAGCTTCAAATTGTATCCCAGGAGGATTTCAAATGTGCATAATCTGTGCAGTTGTCTGGGCTTTTTTCCTTTCTTTTTTTTCTGCCCCTTTTTTTTTTTTTAACTGGCAAATGCCTATTCATTGCCCATCTGGGTAAGAATGGCCTTTGCATTTTCACACCCATTCTTTCCTATATGGTTTGTGAATACCCCTCCAATCAGAACTTGCTTCACAGAAAGGGGACAAAACCATTTTACAGGAGTTTCTCAGAATAAGTCCATTGGGATCTCTACATCATGTTTACTGGACAAAAATAAAAGGGAGTACTTAACAAAGACCACTTGAATTTCACATAAAGTTTCCCACTGTCTTGAGTTTAAAAGAGTGGCAGGCCTGAGGAGAGCCCTAGACAGGAGTCTTTTTCCTGAACTGGGCATTCTGTGCAGTGACAAGTAGGTGAGTGTGTGTGTGTGCAGCTGGGCCCTGTGAGGAGCTGACACACTTTCTGGCTTGTCCAAGGCTCTAGGAGTCTTTGTCAGAATGTGGCATTTACTTAGAATCTGCATTGGCAAGTTGTGTTTTGTGAGCAACATCACCTTTGGACTTTCAGCTTAGAACAGCATGAAATAGGGGTCAACCATAAAACTTGGATCTGGACCTGATTTCGTGCAAAGAGGGAAAGGATCTGCCTTGAACAGCAGGTTTTGCTGCAGACCAATCCCTGGAATTTGTTAAAACTGGTCTTTATACTGATGTAAGTTGTGTAGTAGTGGTTCTGACACATACACAAATTATTTGTTTGCCTGGACTTCAGATAGATATGATTTACAGTGTTGAATGTCAAGGAAGGTGGCCTAGAAAAATCATCCTCAACATCCATATTCGCTCTTTTTTACCATTTATTGTGTGTCTCTTCCAACCATCCTTCTTTTAGCCTCAAGGAGTAAATTTCAATTACTTCTTGGTTGAAGAAGTGGTAGATGTTCCAACAATGAGAGGATCTTTTTAAGGGCAAACTCTAATAGCAGTAAAAAATAATGCCATTTATGAAGTGCTCAGTTGGCTTTCAGACCAGCTCCTACAACACAATGTGCATCCTAGATCAGTTCCTATAGGAGAGCTATTCACATTACTCTTACGAATGCATACAAATATCTTTTTTGTAGCCAGGATCAATTTCAACTGCCTGTTTTCATTAAGATGGCTAAGGATTTCCCTAAATTCCACCCATAGTAAACTATGACAGAACCAAATACACTGTAGCTACACAACTCTTGATTCCCACAGCCAGGACCTGAGAATGGCTGTTGAAACTTATAGATGAATCTTGTCCTTCCTCCTTTGTGTACATGATATGTGGGTAAATGGTGGAATTCACATTCCCAGGAAGTCATTCAGTCTCATGATACATGTCACACCTTGCTGGAAAGGATGTCTTAAGGAAGCATTTTTCAGAGTTCTGCTCACAAAATTAATTTTGTCTGCCAAGGAGCATAGTAACAAAGTTTCTTTTCTCAAGTCAAGTGACCTGTCTGTAGCAGCTCTGGCATTGTGCATGTTAAAGGTAGGATTTTTGGGTTATTGGGTTAGACTGCTGTATATTTCTTCTTATTATGAAATACCTCATTTGACAAAACCTAACAGAGAGATGTGTTTTTGTGAAAGTGAGTCCTAGGAGCAAACCAAGTAGTCACTGATACTCCTCAAAGATAGATGGAGATAAATGGGTACAGTCACTTGCTATGGCCTATAGTAAGTCACCTATTTATCAATAATTTTCCACTCTTCGGTTGCCCCACTGGTATGAAGCTTTTGCCAAGGATTCTGACTTTGTGTGTAAATACATTTTGGATTCTTGTACAGTCTGACACGTTTGGCAGGGAAGCATCTGGAACTGCTGTGGAGGCCTCTGGAGAATTGCTCTATCAGGAAAGAGGAGGAAATACATCTCTTCTCTACATTATTTTGTGTAATAATAGTTACAATGCCCTTGAAGGAAAGTCTCCCAGTTTCTAAGGTGTTTTTCTAGTCCTATGGTCAGTCCCATTAGAGAAAGAAGTTCAGGTTTCCTGGCTAAGCTTATGAACAAGACAGCTGTATTTCACAATTTCCATCATGGTGGTGGTGATTTCCTCCTTGTTTCTTCTATGTGAGCATCCCCTCAGCATGCTAATCACATGTGGAAATTAGTGACCTTTTGGTACAGGTTGGTTTACATCTGTTGACATGGGACTTCTTCAGACAGCTTGGCCCCTTTGTTCCTGACCTTTGTGCTTCCCTTTAATCATCAGCTACTTAAAAGAATTAAAATAGCCACTTTTGTCCAGGTGGTTTCTCTTGGAAACACCAGAACAGAGGGTGCTTGAGATGTAGTGAATAAATGGGAAGAAAAAGGCAGAGCAGGGAGGATGCCACATTTGCCTGCAACTTGCAGTGAGTAGTGTTCGACTGCCTGTGGATGAGACATAAAGCACTCCTTGGGGTGGAGCAGAGAGACATTGCTGGGCTAAAAGGCCTGTGTATGCCTGTGAACTGTTTCCAGTGCTATTTATTTGCTCTGTACATTTGTTAGACAGTGACAATAAGTTAGTTTAATTTACTCACATTTAACAACTTCTCTTTTTGGATGCTCACACATTACCAAGTTATTATGGCAAGAGTGGTTAGATCTTTGGTGGGAATACGCAAGACAAAATGCCTGTAGTACCAGTGGTGATTTTGCATTACTTTGTCTAATTTTCTAGAAACCAAGATGCTGCATGTACTACAAATGCTTAAAAGAATTACTAATAGTGTTTTATTTGTTTACCATTCAAGGGACAATTGATTCTTTATAATTAAAAGGTGATACCGTAGTTTCTGCCTGTCAAAATCCAAATAGATGAAAATTTGGTAAAGAACAGGAAAGGAAATGGGAAGGCACTGAAACCAAAGCAAGCAAGATGAAGATAGGGAACAGTGGGTTGGCAGATTGAGAAATTTCTTTTCAGTCACTTGTAAATTTTGAAGATTATGTTAGCTCTGCATCCAAATTGGTTAGATGCTTTTCTAAACTGTCTCTATTTAGATTATTCAGCCAAACTAAGACAAAATCTTCCTTGGAGTAAATGTCTGTAATTTTCCAGTTTCTGTCAAGTAAATAACAGCAGGAGAACATTTGTTTCTACTTGATGGCGTTCTGGTGCAAGTCAGAACTTGGGATATGCTAAAAATGAAGGGGACAGCTCATATTAACTTCTTGCTTTGGATTCTTTCAGAAAATTGTTTGTCACTATTGGGTAGCAAATGTTCTAAACCACAACCCCAGACAAAACTTTGCGTGGGATTTTAGGAACATTTACAGCCTAAATCTTGAACCAGATTTGGATTTTACAAAGTGACTGCTAGTTTTTTTGATACACGTTACTCTACTGTGCAACACAGGATCTAAATTCCTTAAAATACCAATCTAGATTGAAATCATATTTTCATATGTACTTTTTACATTAACAGCTTGGGGTCATTATAGATTCTGATCTCTTCTGGCACAAATGCAATCCAGAGTTTAAAATCCAGCTTTAATCCATGTGCTCAGTGTTTACAATTGGCTGGCTCTAAGCTTTTTTTTATAAACTGATGGGAAGTCCAAATCTCAGGAGTGTGATTGGAATTCAGGTCTAGCTACACCAGTCTTCATTTGGTTTTGTCCAAAGCTCAGGACTTGAGCTTCTGGAATTGAGTAGGGAAGTTTACTTGTAGCAATACAAAATGATGTGTTCTTACTGATGCCTCTGTATGTGGTTTTTCCAGTGTGATCAGTTTTGTTTACACAGTGGGAAGTTGCCTTTGCCAGCACTCTCACTGTGACCCTGCAGAGGACAAGACTCATTCTGTTCTTTTTTTGTTTGCTTTTGTCACCCACTTTGCTGCAGGTAACATCAGTTGCAAGGGGATGACAGAGCGCATTCATAGCATCAACCTTCACAACTTCAGCAATTCGGTGCTCGAGACCCTCAACGAGCAGCGCAACCGTGGCCACTTCTGTGACGTGACGGTCCGCATCCACGGGAGCATGCTGCGCGCCCACCGCTGCGTGCTGGCAGCTGGCAGCCCCTTCTTCCAGGACAAGCTGCTGCTGGGCTACAGTGACATCGAGATCCCCTCAGTGGTGTCAGTCCAGTCTGTGCAAAAGCTCATTGACTTCATGTACAGCGGGGTGCTGCGGGTCTCCCAGTCAGAGGCCCTCCAAATCCTCACAGCCGCCAGCATCCTGCAGATCAAGACTGTGATTGATGAGTGCACAAGGATTGTCTCACAAAACGTGGGAGATGTCTACCCAGTGATTCAGGATTCTGGCCAAGAGACACCCAGGGGAACACCTGAATCAGGCACATCGGGGCAGAGCACTGACACAGAGTCTGGCTACCTGCAGAGCCATTCACAGCACAGTGTGGACAGGATCTATTCAGCCCTCTATGCCTGTTCCATGCAAAATGGCAGTGGGGAGCGCTCCTTTTACAGTGGAGCTGTGGTCAGCCACCATGAGACAGCCCTGGGACTCCCCAGGGACCATCACATAGAAGACCCCAGCTGGATTACCCGGATCCATGAACGGTCGCAGCAGATGGAGCGGTACCTCTCCACCACTCCAGAGACAACACACTGCCGGAAGCAGCCCCGCCCTGTCCGAATTCAAACCCTGATGGGCAACATCCATATTAAACAGGAGATGGAGGATGACTATGACTACTATGGCCAACAGAGGGTGCAGATCCTTGAGCGCAATGAGTCTGAGGAATGCACTGAGGACACTGACCAAGCAGAAGGCACTGAGAGCGAGCCCAAAGGGGAGAGTTTTGACTCGGGTGTCAGTTCCTCCATTGGCACTGAGCCTGATTCCATGGAGCAGCAGTTTATGGCTGGTCTGGGCCGGGATGGGCAGCAGGAACCTACTCAAGCAGATCAAAATGATGTCCCTGCTGATGGCACTCAACCACAGCAGCAGCAGCAACATGTAGATGCCAACTCTTCCTCACCAGAGAGAAGCAATGATGTTGAAATGGACAGCAAAGTGCTCACAGTCAATAACAGCACCGAAAAGGGGGCTTTGCAGCCTTCTGTCAACACATCTGTTGCCCAGCCATTGCCAACCACACAGATCTACTTACGCCAGACAGAAACCCTCACCAGCAATCTAAGGATGCCACTGACTCTGACCAGCAACACTCAGGTCATTGGAACAGCTGGCAACACCTACCTGCCTGCCCTTTTCACCACGCAGTCTGCTGGCAGTGGCCCTAAGCCTTTTCTCTTCAGCCTGCCCCAGCCTTTAGCTGGCCAACAGACACAGTTTGTGACAGTGTCCCAGCCCGGCCTGTCAACCTTTACTGCCCAGCTGCCGGCCCCACAGCCCTTGGCCCCGTCTGCAGGCCACAGCACAGCGGGTGGGCAAGGCGAAAAAAAGCCTTACGAGTGCACTCTCTGTAACAAGACTTTCACCGCCAAACAGAACTACGTCAAGCACATGTTTGTACACACAGGTAAGAGTGTTTCCCTTTGGCTTGCATGTGGAGCCACAGAAAGCCCTTTACAACCATGGACTTAGACTTTGTTTTCCAGCCTGCCAGCCCCCAGGATAAACAGGAGGGAGGGCTTATCCAGGGAGCTGGTGTCACTGAACACTTCTTGGCCTTACTGCACTGAAGTTGAGTCCCTGCAGAAAACTACAGATCCCAAATAGGGGCCTAACTGTGCATGGTGCAGAAACAAGTTCATTTCTCTTGGAGTAAAATGCATCTTGCATCCATCCAAGGAAATGGTGAGCATTCATTGTACCCTGCAAGCTGACCAGGCAACATTAAGTGGAAGAGAGGAAACTAACAGGTCATAAGAAAAATTGTATCTACTAAGAAAGGGCATCCTCCTGTAGGTTTTACAGATATGGGGGAATTAAGCTCAAGTAGAGGTGAGGTTAGGGCAAATTCATTACTGGTGGAGCTGCAGCAGAAGGTCCAGACCTGGATGTTACACACACTGCTACAGATTTTCTAGATCTCACATACTACTATAAGAAAGTAAATCTGGGGTTTTGTCAGAAAGTCTTTTTGTACTTCACTGAGGCTAACTGCTGTAATCCCTCTTGGTAAGTCAGAGGCATCAGTAGCTGTGAGTACAGAAACATGGGATTCAATGAGAAAATATTTAAAGAATATATGTGGAGCACAATGGAACACAACATCAACACCTTTCTGTTTAAAACTGCAGCTGCTTTAGTATATAGTTTATGATCTGTTGAGATAACATAGGTAACCATATTTGCCACTGAGCCAAAACTGCCTTTTCTAGCTTGTTATGAGACTTCAAAGCAAGGATATGTATTTTACATGGAAGAGTTGTCATGGGTTCAGGACTGCTTTGCTTGCTTTAGCCCTTGGCTCTTCCTGCTGTTGGAGAGACATTCTAGTTTAGAGAAAGAGTATTTCTTTCACCAAGCAGTGGATTTGTTAACATCAGATCTTAAAATAAATGCTGGGTTTGTGATACATGGAGAAGAACCTGGAAACATTGCCCACCATGCCTCTCTGTTGGATGCAATAATTTCAATTCCATGTGTATATGTAAACTTTTAAGTTCAACTTACCTGTATTTATCACTTAAATTAAAAACTCCTCTAGACATCTACAGCAGACATGTACATATACAAAAAGATCAACTTTTCAGGACTGGTACAAAATGTACAATTGCAAGGATCAAGAGTCCTGAATCCCAAGATTACCTTTGTGTCTGTTTATGTACTCCATCTCTCTGTTGTGGATGAGGAGCTAAAATGCTACATAGATAGTGATGGTATTCAGAAAAAATATTCCCTTCAGAGCACAGTCAAATATATCTGCTTGCATCCTTGTTCTAAAAGCTAAAAAGACTGGTTTACAAATAACTTCACTGAGATTAGACACTTTATTTCCCCTACAACTGCACTTCAGTTTTGGAGTCAAATAAAGAATAATACTGAAGACCTAAACCTAAATCTAAATCTAAAGCATTCTTAGCTACTACAAGTAATACCAACTGAGGAAATTGATAGGCATCTTGAATCATGAATTAATATTTTACTTGTGTGGGTCTGAGAATGCCCTAAAAAATGAACTGTAGTGGCAAGGAAAGATTTGGGTAGATAAATCATTTCAAAAGTTCATTTAGGAGCTAACTGTCTCCTGGGAGAATAATTTTACCTCAACCCACAGAGAGCTACACTTCAAAAAACCCTCCTGAAAATAATCATTATGTGTGCAGCCTCAGATAAAGTGCTATCTTGTCCGGTGCTGGACAGGATCATTACAAAAATAGAGGGGAGACCTCTGTTCCCACTGTCAGGGTGACTTTTCCTTAGGCCTGTTGAAAGAAGCTAGGCAAAGTGGTCCTGGAAAGATCCACAGAAAAAATGAGAAGCTTGGGAGATGCAGATGTTTGAATTAATCTTTCTGTTTGGGGGGCTCACAAGAGAAGTCACGGAAGAGTCTAATCATAAACCTGAATTCAGTAACTTAATGGCCTCTATATCTCTGTATGTTTTTTATGCTTTGAAAAACTACAGTCTGATTAGCTTTCCATGCAACAGAAACCAACCTCCTTTTCTTCTTTCACATGGGTGCAAACATATTAGAGATTGCTATTTTTCCATGTTCTATGTAGACTTACTTCAATATATCCCACAATATTGTGGAAATACAGTGCTAGAGTGTATGCACTGTCTGCACTTTATAAGGCACTATTGCTTTTCCCATATATCATGCTGTGATTAATACTGGTTTAAAGGCTACAAAAGACATGTCAAGGGGATCACAGCAGAGCACCAACATTGCTGCCTCCACACCTTTCTAATCTGGTGATAGGACAGTGATGGGATGAGGGCAAGTCGTTTGAGGAGTGGCTGAGGTCACTTGGCTTCAGCCTGGAGGAGATTGAAGGGAAACCTCATGAGGGGAAGTGCAGGGGCAGGAATTGACCTCTTCTCTCTTGTCCAGTGATAAGACACAAGGGAATGGCATGCACCTGTCTTAGGGTAGGTTTAGATTAGATATTAGGAAAAGGTTCTTCACCTTTGGTTGGGGTTGGTGGGCACTAGAACAAGTTCCCCAAGAAGTGGTCACAGCACCAAACCTGGCAGAGTTTGAGAAGCTCTTGGACAATGGTCTTGGGCTCATGATGTGATTCTTGGAGTGGTGCTGTGCAGGACCAGGAGGTGGAATTTGATGATCCTTGGGGATCCCTTCCAAGTCGGGATTCTGATTCCATGGCCTCAGTGTCAGCACCAAGTATCTATGGTTAGGGTTCAAAGAGCTGCAGAGCCTACATCACCAGGAGCACAGGGGCTGGAAAAGGGAACCATGGCCAGGTGCTGGCATTGCTTCTTCCCCTTCCAACTCAGGATTCTATTATTCTAATCATCCCATATTGCAGTCTAATACCAGCCAAATACAAAATAAAGAAGCAGAAGGAAGAACATGCACATTTAATTCACTGAGCAAAGTTTTCTCTAACTTGAAAATGAAGAATCACAGGAATAAAGAATATACAGTGCTCACTTAGGAAGCACAAAAATTTGCATACAAAAAAGAAAAACTAAAGTTTTGCAATTCTTTGGAGAGGAGAAATCCCAGGAAGGCTTTGAAGCTGAAATTAAAAAGCTGCAACCCAGTGTATCTTAGAAACATAAGCAGGCAAAAATTAAGGTCTTTTTCTAGCACAATCTTAACAGGATCTAGAGTGGAGGAGACCAACTTTCTACAAACTCTGGGACATGGATTGCCCAAGGCAAAAATGAGCTCCATAAATACAATCAGCCTCTTGTAAGTTAATCAGACATTATTCTAACTGACACACTTTCATTTTCCACATCATGTGTCATTCATATAGGCCTGTCTGTACACACCACAGTCCTGTGTGTGGCAAAGCCATCAGGAAAGCAAGGACTTAGTGTTTTGAGTGAATGTCTTTCACCAAGTAGGGACAAACTCCTCACAAGTGCAAGGAAGAGCAGCAAGTGGATTTCATTCATGGATGTCACCATCATACATGCAAACCATTAAATAAAGAGAAACAGAGACTTGGAGGAGATAAAAAAGTAGGTCTTTCACATCTAATCCATTTTAATTATCTCCTCTTAAAATTGAGTATAAATAGCATATGGTAATCTCACTATACAATGAGTGAATTATATATTATCACAGGCATGTCTTGGTCCCTGAAGATTGACACTTCAGGAGTTACAGCAGTGCCAAACAGACTGTAAAAAGAAGGAAGCAGGATGTCTGTGGAGAGAAAAAAAACAGGGGGAAATTGGAGAATAACCACAGGAAAATAATTTTCTCAATCAGTGAAACAGAGGATCATTTTGATTCTTACAGAGCTGTGGTATCCTCTCTATCCCTGACAGCCTTGGGGATGATGAGTTCCACACATGAAATATACCATTAGTGATTTAGAAAGCAAATTAAAAAGTAGCTTTTGATGGAGCATTGGTTGTTGGCTACATTACCAGTGCAGCAGCATATCATGAAAACGTTGCTTGACAATACGAAACATGAGACCATGCCTTATCTTTCAGAACTCTGAGCATGAGGAGGATTTAAGAGTAGTCTGAAAAAAAACTGTATATGTGCTCAGCTAAGTATTTTTCCCAGTTTATCCTTGTAGTCACTGGTTTGTCTGAACATGATCAGAGTTCAATTATATGAGTTTCTGTAATAAGTTTTACAACAGTCCTGGGAACACAAGGCAATGTGGAAGATTACATACATGTTTTATCTCCCTTGTTTTACCTCATAAGGTGTTTGATTTAACTGACAGTCAAATCATTCAAGTTTCCTGTGCCTTACACTGGAATTTTATCTGTTAGGTTGCCCTTTGCATGGTGCTGGCTGGCCTAGGCAATTCTGTGTTCTGAGGTTCCCTTTTCCAGTACTACTTGTACATGCTTCAGCTATGACATTTGACCAGAAAAGGGAGCAACAAATGTAAACCTCTTATACAGTGTTGGATTCCTCTGACAATCTCTGTCTTTTCTGTCCTGAGAAATGGAAAGCAATTTGACTGAAATAAGTCTGGCCCAGGTTAGCTGTCTGGTAGTCACTGATTTGTCCCTGGTTTTATTGCATGCCAGTGAGGAAATAGTAGCACTGGAAGGTGAAGTAGCATGGTTGAGACTTTCCTGTGTAGAAATGAGCATGAGGAGCAAGACAGGAGCACAGACAGGAGAGGCTGTGCCATTGAAACTGGGTGCAGATGCCAGGACATTTTAACTCTAGTCCTGGCTTTGTCAGTGTCTATCTATTGTGTGAACTTGAAGAAATCACCTGAGCTCCTTTTTACTGTATTTAGATAGGGAATTTCTACAGCCCCCTTTGTAAAGCATTTTGAAAACTCTGGTTGCAAAAAATGTTGTGTGTCAAAACACTGATTAACAGACCTACTCTTTGCTAGCCAGAGCACCTCTCCAAAGACCCCCATGAGATTTACTATTAGTTTATTGCAAAGAGTTCTACTGAACTGGTTTCATTTTATGATTTTTTTTTGTCTGTTTGTCTCTCTGTCTCTCTCTCATTGGTAATGGGCAGGTGAGAAACCGCACCAATGCAGCATCTGTTGGCGCTCCTTCTCTTTAAAGGATTACCTAATCAAACACATGGTGACACACACTGGCGTGAGGGCCTACCAGTGCAGCATCTGCAACAAGCGCTTCACCCAGAAGAGCTCCCTTAATGTGCACATGCGTCTCCACCGTGGGGAGAAGTCCTACGAGTGCTACATCTGCAAGAAGAAGTTCTCCCACAAGACCCTGCTGGAGAGGCATGTGGCTCTGCACAGTGCAACCAACGGCACGCCTGGAGCCACTGGCACCGGCGCAAGGGCTGTCCCTGCCGGCGTGGTGGCCTGCACGGAGGGGACCACGTACGTCTGCTCTGTCTGTCCAGCTAAGTTTGACCAAATCGAGCATTTCAACGACCACATGAGGATGCATGTGTCAGACGGATAAGTAGAATCTCTCTCTCTCTCTTTGTTATGAACAACAAAAATAGAAACAACAAAAAAAAAGCTATGGCACTAGAATTTAAGAAATTATTTTTGTTTCATTTTTACCTTTATTTTCCTCCTTTTTTTGGGTTCATTTCGTTTTGTTGTTTTTTGTACTACATGGAAAACTGTTTTTTGCCTGCTGGTACATTACATTTCCGGAGGCTGGGTGAATAATAATTTTCCCAACCTCCCTCGGATGGTGGCCTTAAGGCCAGGTAGTGCTTCATGAGCTCCACTGGTTGGATCTCTAGCTACTGGCCTCTAAATACAACCCTTCTTTACTACAAAAAGCAAACAACAAAAAAAAAAAAAACACAAAAAAAATTTAAAAAACAGACAAAAAAATTAAAAAAATCTTTTTTCTCACTTGTGAAGAGCACTACAAATAAAGAAACAAACAAAATATATTACAAATCTACAAGGCCTACTGTCGTTATAAGTACACCGCTTGCAGTGTTTCAATGGACATGATTCACATTGCTGACCGCTTTTGGACTTCACAGTACCCAGTTAGAACTGTGGAATATTTTGCTTCTGGTTGAGCAGCAACCAGAGGAAACAAGGCCCTGCTGGTTTCCACCACGTGTCTGCTTTCTCACACACGCACGCATCCACAAACACACAAAAAGGGCTGAGGGGAATGCGAGGCAGTGTGGCTTGGATAGTGTGGAGTCCCTGCAGGGTGAGGAAAAAGAATCAGAGGTTCCCCACCTGGATTCTGCTCCATCCCTCTCTGTCCGGCGCACCCTCCCCGCTGCTTTTCTCGTACCACCACCACCACCTTATAGCAGAAACCAAGAAGATTCAGACAACGAGCAACGGTGGCTTTTTTTGTAATTTATTCAGTGTCTTCGCTGAGCACAGGGCCTCAGCACAATCAAGAGGGACTTTCACAGAAGGCAAAGAGAAACACAGAGAAAAATCAAAGATATCAGAGGTTGCAACCTATGGATCTAGGTACAAGAAAAGGGTTAGTTCCCACAATCTTTGCAAAAAAAAAAAAGTTGCATCAGGATTTATTCTTGTGGAAGAAAGAGGAATAGAGGGTGGGAGGGGAATAATAATTTAAAAAAAAGAGTTGTTGGGACTTTTTTAATTCAAAATTTTATAGAGGGGCAAAAGTGACGTTTACCAGATAGAATGCTGATTTTTTTAATATATTTACAACAGTATTTGTGTAAAAAAACAAAAAAAGTGAGATTGTTAAAAGTAATTTTTCTTTGTTTTCTCTTTTGTTTTGCATACACTGCCACTAATATCTCCTCTTTTATTATATATATGAATATATATAAAAATATATATTTTATTTTAAATTGAGACTGTTAAGGTTAGCTAACCTGCTTCCAGATAGAGGGGGGGAGGGGAGATGATCTTGATTTTTATTTTAAAAAAGAGGAAGGATGTTTTCTTAATTTTCTTTTCTAGTATTATTCTCTCTGTTTTCTAATGGAATCAAGAATTACCTGGGTCGATGAGGGGCTCTGTGAAGTCATCTGTGAGATTATCTACTAGTGTTTGTGCATCCTGCAGTATCATTTGAACTGCTACTTTGTTTTTTTGAATTACATGGTTCTCTTTTTGGCTCTTACCAAGCTTCTGTTGTTTCTTTTTTGGTTCCATCTCAGAATTTATTTCTGCTGAAGGACATTTCCTTTTGAGAAAGAGATTTTTCTAGCAATGTTCCCTTGTTTTTGGGGATGATATAAAATGTAGTCTTTATTTGAAAAAGTATTGAAAGTTTAGAAGTGTGTAATAACTAGGATTTCCCTTCTTTTTGGTCACTGGACAAGAATTTATCTGCTGTATTGTTCTCTCATCCCTGCCTTGCTCGCTAGAGAGCTTCCATATTTCTGTGGGAATCTGATCCTGCCCCCAATAATTTGTGCTGATGCCAAAACAACTTAAAATGTTACCATTGCAAATAATCCTCCCTTCATTTGCATAAAGTCTGACTGAAGGGCCACATCCCGCATTCTCTGCATAGACAAAGCTATGAAAGGAATGTAGGATCAGTGTGAAAGATTAATTCCTGATCTGCATATGTATATTGGTGTTTTGTATTTTGTTTTATTGTGTTTGGATTGGTGTTCTCCCTAGTTGTCTTCTGTGTATCTGTGTAAGAATTTTTTCCCCAAAGCCAGCTCCCAAAGTACGTGGGTCCTTAGTTCAGTTGGATCAGTGTTTGACACTGTCTTTGTCTTGCTTGAAATCCATGTGAGGACTTACACCAACTGCACTCTGGACTTCATATTTTAGGCAGAGAAGAAGCACCTAACAAAAATATGCAAAAAGGAAAAAAAGAAAAAATTGCAAGTTTAGCTTTTACTTGTGTCTATATTTAAATTAAGCTTTCTTAAGTTTACAAAACTTTTTTCTTGTGAACACTGAGCATTTCACATGAGACATTCTTTTATGCTGGACAGCTTTCTGAGTATTGACTTGGTAGATCTCCATACACAATTTTGCATGTTCTTTACACATGTGGCTTCTCTATCAGATGCCTGTGATTCAGTACAGGTAACTCATCCATATGTTCTGTGCCTGTTCCATTACCATTTATTGGGGGGAAAAACCTGACAGGTGGCTCAGTCTCATAATCTTTCTGTACCCTGCAAGGTACTGTTCAGCAGATCCTAAATGCTGAAGCCCAGATTCTTGGCTGCAATATGCAGCATAGAAAGACCTTGAGGTGAATGCCAGAGCAATTGAATCTTTTATACAATAACATCTTTCTTTGTTACCAACTTGTTTGGGTAGTTCAGGGGGTTGGAGAAGGAGCACAAGTTCGTTAACAAATATTGTTCTAATAACCACATTGGCAAAAGCAATGCTGGCATGTAAATCAAGATGTGAAAAGACAAAGCCCAAGACACAGGGAGGGAGAACTGATATGTGCCATTTAGACACACTAATTCTATACAGAAAGTAAAGGTTCTGGAGACTGGAATGCAGAAGAAAATGAGGAAGGTGAACCTAGACAAAAGGATTGAAGGTTTTTCTTCGGGTAAAGTAGCGTTTTTTCTGAGATCTTTGGTATCAAAGAATATTCTCCCATATGAGGAACTAGTGAAGAATTTTACCCAGCTTACAAATATGTAGCTGCTCATTTGTCATCTGAGGTCTGGGGAAAAGCTGTTTAATTTGCCATTGTAAACCTGGTAAACTGTAGTCAAGATGTAGCATATTCTGGAATATACTTTTGATACCAGAAGAGGTATGCCAGTAAACATGAAATAAGAATCAGGATCTACATCCACCAAAATCCAAATACTATCAAAATTTTAATCCTTCAGTTTTCATCCTTCCCTAAATCAAAGCATTATCTTTGAAATGCCAATTTTTATAAGGTTCAATAAATTTTAAGTGAATTAAAAATGAGTTGTGAATGAATGAATTAGCATATTCTGGAATATACTTTTGATACCAGAAGAGGTATGCCAGTAAACATGAAATAAGAATCAGGATCTACATCCACCAAAATCCAAATACTATCAAAATTTTAATCCTTCAGTTTTCATCCTTCCCTAAATCAAAGCATTATCTTTGAAATGCCAATTTTTATAAGGTTCAATAAATTTTAAGTGAATGTGAATGAATGAATGAATGAATGAATGAATGAATGAATGATGCCAATTAAAAAAAAACAACCATATTTCTTAAAGTAAAGCAAAGGCATAATTCTAAAACACTTGTCAAAGAATTTAGGCCTAGGTCTTCACAAATGACTGCCTGTAATGTAAACTGATTTTGTTGGACTTCCAGACTCGATATTGTAAAATGTGGGGTAACTTGCAGCATGACTGCAAATGTAGCTTAAAGTGTCAGGTCATTCTGAATTCAGAAGCTCAAACATAGTCCCCTTTATCTTTTAAAGTGTTAAATTCTCTTTGGCAGTTCTTCCTCCCATCTTTGAAATGCTTAATTGCTACTTGGAAATAACTAATATCTGAATGTTACAGGTAGATTCAAGCTTCATATATTGCTACAATATGCCTTTGCAAAAAGAATAGCAGTCACCATGATCTGGAAACTGCTGCTGACAATGTTTGAGTGAATCTATCTCAGTATGCTTGAAAGGCTTCCTTCAAAACACCCAATGAAGTGATACAGATGAGAAAATGCAGACTGTAGCACACATCCTTTTGTTGAAGCCTGCAATATCCTGCATTCCTTGAGCTTGATTCTCACTTTTGCTAAAGCTCTCTTTATATTAGTTTGGTAATGGAAAAGGCCATTAAATAGAACATAAATTCAAGCTTACAAGGCCTCTCTGCAAGGCATAAGTGCAATAAAGGAAACCTTAGAGTGAATGAGAAGTGCCTTCTCATACTGTTGCTGAGGCTGGTGAAGTGAATTGGAAATTCACTATAGCAGGACTGGCTATAGGTTCCTTTGCAGGAACTGCTCTGAGGATACTTTCTCAACATCCATCATGCTTCTACTAGACCCATTTCTGGCCCTTCAAAAACAGCTGCTGTTTTTGAATGCTGTTAGCTTCAATAACAGCTCAAGTTCCCAGTAAGGTAACAGGGGAGAATGTAATTTAATTGACTTTTTAAGTGAATGAGACTTCCCTTTGCTCTAAATCAAAAGTGGAGCCTGTTTTTCTTCTTTTGATTTCTTTTTCATCCAAAGGAGAGTTGAGTAATAATCCACATACCATCAGCACCCCACTTCTTGGCAACCCTACTGACTGGGTTCAGTTGACCTTGACATACTTGATTAATGCTGGATCACTGGCATGGTGAGTGACAAGTCTCTTGACTTTAGTGAATATTATCCCAACTTCTCCTGTCTCCCTTAGTAGTGAAAACAAGTCCCATAGGGAGAAGGTACAAGACATACTCTTTGCAGGGATGTTGAGTCCAGTCCAAAATCAGAAGCACCCAAACCATTTCACACATAATCAGTATGCCATAGATCTGTGACCTTCCAGTCCTGTGCTAAGGAAATCCTCCAGTTCTCACTGCTGAAAATGACTTGCCATTCAAAAGGAAAAGATGGGATGAGCCTGGAAAAGAGAAGGGTCCAGGTAGACTGTCCAGATCCTGACAAGAAGGCTGGAGAGGGAATTTTCACAAGGGTATAGGACTTTTCACTTAGTGGTAGGACTGGGAGGAATGGCCTTAAGCTGATGGAGTGTAGGTTTAGATTAGATATTAGGAAGAAATCTTTATGATAAGGGTGGTGAGATGCTAAAACAGGTTGCCCAGAGAAGGTGTGGGCTGTAGGTGTTCAAGATCAGTCTGGATGGGGCTCTGAGACATATGGTCTAGTGGAAGGCCCCCTGCACATGGTGGGAGGGTTGGAACC